TCGCACTAATGACGACTTAAGGATTACTTGGACAGAATCAAGGTAACTTAACCTCTTGTATACAATTCATGAAGTAATCCGGAAGGCAATACACAAAATGATAGCTTTTTTATCTTGTCGAATATATATAGGCCTATAGGGAATAAGTAAAGAAATAAGGTTTGACAATTATATAGGGATATTTATGCAAAGATCAGGATTTTTGGAATTGGTGGCCAAAAAATGATCCCCATATGTTATTCTTATGAGAAAAAACGCCTAAATTGGGTATCTTTGTCCTATAACCACTACTAGCAAGCAATAGAAATATGTAAACCCCTGGACCTCAAAATGAATAAATCCAAAACCAAACTTTAAATGTTAATTTTGCCACCACAAACAACCTGAACTATCAACCGAAGAAGCATTGATAACAACAGCAACTCATGCAACTATCCTGGGCATAATCATTGATCAACACCTGGACCTGACCTCGAATAACCATCTGGAAAAACTTGGGAAAAAATTATCATCATCACTTTTTGCCATACAAAAAATACGCTCCATAACAGATAAAAATACTTCTAAAAGCCTACTACGCACTCTTCGAATCTCACTTGCGCTTGGGAATAGTAGCCTGGGGGACAGCGGCGGATTGCTACATCTATATAATCCAAATTCTTCAAAAAATGGCATTAAGAATCATTGAGAACCTACAACCACAAGAGCATTGTAAAACCATACTTCGTTAAAAACAAAATCCTTACCGTTCCAAACATATACATCCTTGAAGTTGTAAACCTAATAAAACTAAACCCCGCAAAAGCTTAGGGAAAATAGCCACAAATATAACTTAAGAAACACAAAAACAAACTTCGATATGCAACAACACAGATTGTCAAAACCAGCAAAATACCCCAAATAATCCAATCTCAGATGGGACGAGCACATCGACAGCCTCTGCCAGAAATTAAGCAGGGGTGCCCATCCCCCCCTAGACTCATGACGCACCCCCCCAATTGAGCAACAGCCCCCCCCCCCACCATAAATGATGTACACAACAAATGAGAAACATTATTCCCCCGCCCAGCACATTTGTAAAACTATAAAAGAAGTTTTATAATTTTTTTTAGATATTTAAAATTCAAACCCAGTTAATCTATATAAATAAAGTTATAGTTTAGTCTGTACACTGCTCAGAATTATACATATTTTGGGTTATTTATGTTCTATACATTGAAGAAGTTGAAACATGTCTTATCTCAATTTATGTCCGTCTGTCACGGCCCAGAAGGCCTTTTATGCAGTCTACTCTAAAGAAAACTAAAGTACCGATTACGATTCTAATGGTTTAATTGAATCCACAGGATTGGCGAGAGAGTCCTTATAGCCATTAAAATATGGCCTCACTATTTTGGAAATAAAATAACGGACGATCAAAAACACAATTTTGTGTGATTTTTCTAGTTTATTTTCTCCATGTTTACTACATACGTCATTAATTAATGAAATACTAATAATTTGTTAAGAGAACACGTCATATATGATATTACGAACAACAGCCGTTTTGATAAAGATTCCTTTTCCTAGCTGAACTGATATGTTTACATGAATGTTGTTTACGAATACTGTGTAGGCCCTAACCATTTCCGATCACGTTTGTAACCATTTCCGATCACGTTTGTAAGCAAATCCAAAACCAAGTGATATTAATAACCGTGTGGCTTTGGCTTACACAACGGGTTTCATTTATCACGGGTACTAATATGTAACTGTAAATTAAATTAAATAACTAGCCATCATCCAGGTCGGGAACCGGAGATTCTGTGTGTATCAAGTTGTACTTGAATTTTGATTACAGGGAAAAGACCGTGATTTAGTGTTGTACAGGACTGGAAAATTTATCTTTCTATATAAATAAAATTAGAGTTTTATAAGTCACCTCAATTTAAGGAATTCTTTATTGCCAGAATATCCATATAGCGTTCGTAAACTCTGCTTAACGAATTGTCAGCGTCTTTCTCGATATAACGATGCCCTCTCCCTCCCTTTAGAAACATCACAAGCTCCTTTGATGAAAATTAAATGGAAACAACGCTTGCGCCAATAATCGTCTGCTCCGTTTTATGTCTGCTGTGCGCTATGTTACAACAGATTTGAGATACAACAGCTGGGGAATGAATGATGACGATATAATCATAGATAAATCATAATGCTTAGTTAACTGTGATTGAGTGAAATATTAGTAACCATGGTAACTTAAGTAAGGTTGTGATTGGCCGATGAGTAGGCCTAAATATGGCGACTTGTTGAATTTGTGTATGAATTGAAGAGAAACCAATTAAAGAACAGAAGAACAAAGAAAAAGAATTACGAGATTGTTCTCGTTACATTCTTTTTTAAGAGTGTTTTAATTATCTCTAAATATAATTTTACACTTTATTATTACTTATCTATCAATTCCTATGCTGTGATACAGCACCTATCGGTAGCCTATCTGTCTATCACGAGCAGTACCTTATAACACTTTCTAAAGGTCCTTTAATATTTACGTTATTTATAGCAACGCAATGTTTGGCTAGTGATTAGTTGAGTTTGAGTTAGCTAAAATGTTAAACGTTGCCGTTTGTACAACTGAACCAAGATAAATGATTTGAAATTTACAATAATAATGTTATTGCACAATAATAATGATTATGCAATAGGCTATTGAATTTCGTTTATAAAAAAGCAAATCGTGACGTTAATGGCTGTTTGCTGTTTACAGCGTTTTAATGAGTTTGTCATCTGTTTTTATTGGATTAACCGTATTTTTCATTACCCCCCCCCCTCTCCCTATTAACTCAGGTAATCGAGTATCTACACAATATTGTTAAGTATTGTAGCCTATGCTACTTGATTGTACGTATTTTAACGAGCTTTATGTCAACAAAGCGTTCTGTGCTAAGTCGCGGTGTAGCTGGACGTGTCTGTACCACGCGTTATCTTTTATCTATCACAGCAGTTGAGCCATCCCGTGCGCTCCCTCTAGATCTCACGTCTTGCTAATCTTAAATAATAACTTTCTACACGAATTCTAAACTATCCTAAAATCCTATTTTAACTAATTTAATTCAATAATATAACTATTGTCATTAATTAATCCACTTTCTATCTGGTGACTGTGTAATATATTTTTGATTGTAGTCACGTTGAACACTGTTGCAATTAGCTTTAGCCACCCCCCCCCATTTGAATTTTTTGAGCCCCCCCCAAGAATTTCAATGACGCAGTCTGCGTCACAGTCCCCCCTTGTGGGCACCCCTGAATTAAGCAGCAGTATATATGCTTTAAGACGCGTTAAAGCCATTAGCACATATGATGCAGTAAAAACCGCCTATTTTGCTTTACTGGACAGCCACATTAAATATGGAATAGCTCTTTGGGGCGCCACTGCCGGGAAAAACCTGCAACGTGTGTTAGTTATGCAGAAAGAGGCTGTTCGTGTTATGGCGGACTTAGAATGGAGGGCGAGTTGCAGACAAGCTTTTGTAGACCTAAAGATATTAACACTAATAAATACTTACATACTTGAAGTTGTCACCATGGCCTGCAAATCAAGATTACCACGGAATGAGAATGTCCACCAGCACTTCACCCGGCATGCCTGTAATTTTAATCTGCCTACACACCACAGTAGAAGATATGAGGGTAAGCCTTCTTACATCGGAGCCAAATTTTTCAACCATCTGCCAGCTGAAATCAAGAGTTCCAGTCCTGAGAAGCTGAAGACAGTACTCCGGGATTGGCTGCACCACCATCCTTTCTACGGCGTTGGAGAGTTCTTGGACTGGCAAGCTCTGTAGATCAATTATTCTAAAAGACACTCTCGAAAGAAGTTTCTGTAATATATTTGACGCAAATTTCAATCTTAACGATTTGTAAATAAAGATCTCTCTCTCTCTCTCTCTCTCTCTAAAATGGGGTCGAAAATTTCCCAGAACATATAAAACAAATCAAATCTCCAAAACTTTTTTTTTTAAACACTCAAAGAATATTTAGTCCAAAAACCATTCTACAAATTAGATGAGTTCATTGAAGAGCACACTGCTTACCACAAAGATAGGCACCAAAATGAACCCACTTTGCACCATACACACACACATACACATCTAACACTACAATGACAACAAAGAAAAAAGAAGATGACGATTCCCTAGTGTCTACGACTACGGTGAAGAGGACCAAGGTAAAAGGTAAAGAGGTATCAGCAAGTTTGGTTGGTTTGGTTAGGTTATGACATTTTAATTTTATAATTTAAACATTATAAAATTGAATTTGAGCCATTTATAGTTTTATTTTATGAACAGAACTATTTTTTCGATTAAACCTTCATTCGATTTTTCATTATCAGCAACAGCAAGTCTGGTTAGTTTGGTTAGGTTATGACGGTTTAATTTCATAATTAAAAATATATCAAATTGAATTTGAGACATTTATAATTTTATTTAATGAACAGAACTATTTGTTTGATTAGTATACCTTCATTATAGTCAATCAAAAGATTCCAAATGACACTGTTGGCAAAATTAGTCCTGAAATAAAAATCATGCCGCCGTGCAGCATCCCACCAACCAATCTAATGGCCAACAGGCCATTAGGCCAACCTAACAACACGAAACACCGAAAACAAACCAGCAAAAACAGTGGCACGTTTTTCTCTAATGTTAAACCAGAGAGTAGTAACTCCAGTTATAATCTATTTATATGAAATGTACAGTTAGTTTCGTTCCGATTTTAACTCTGCTGTCCCGGCATGGCACGGTGGTGGGGGGTTTTGGTCCTCCACTAGGGAAGGTTTCGTCTTCGTCTCGTACTCGTCGTACCGTAGATTAAGCAAGCAGGGAGTATACTCCAAGGGAGTATGCTTAATCTATGGTCGTACTCATTCCTCGAGCAAGACTCCTCTCCTCCTGCCACCGTCTGCCTCTTATGTCATTATTTTCGATTCCGAATTCCGTCCGAGTCAATGTCAACGACCAACGTCAAAAGTCAAGTCAACCTAAAAGTGAGCGTGAGAGAGCATGTGGGTCTAGATAAATTGTTCAATTAACTCTAAGAACATAATTTTCTATTAACTGAGATTATTGATCTCAAATTAATAATTTGAAATGGTTGGTCAGCGAAAGAAAAAGGTAAGTTTTTGCGTAAAATACAAACGTGGTAGCCTAAATCTAGCTCACTGTGTTTTTAGGTTAAGCCTAGACTATTGATAAATTCATTATCAACAACTATTATTTATACTAATGATTTTTTAGCTATATGTTTTTAATATGTGCCACCTATATGTATGAACTTTTAATTTTAAGATAATTTTAAAGATTTAGTCTCCGTTTCATTCCTTTACGTTTTTGACGATTTTATTTTCAATGTTTTGATAGGTTAAGTAACAAACAATTCTCGTCCACAAGCTAGGCATAATCCTATGAGATGAAAGGTTCTAAAAATTTAGGCTTTCTGGTGTAGTTAGTTGACCCTAAAAATATTTTAGCCTATATTGTAGGCCTAGAATGATTTTATATACAAATACCCCCGCCGCAGCAAACCTGCAGACTAAGCGAATTTCCATTTGACTGATTGGATTTACACTGAAATGTCTACTTAAAAATATAACATTTATTCCCGATTTAAATAGAATTAGTTTAACAAGTACTTAGGTTTGCTGCATCAGGGAGGGTAAAACAGTTTTTGGTATTTATTGTGACGAACGTGACCATGGGAACCTAGATATAGAATTATATATCACTAGAAACTAGATTTTTAGCTGAAAATAACGGTGCAAAAATTTTTCCGCGCTCTCAAATATTAACGGAGTTACGGCTGTTTTAAGTTTTATTTACCAGTAGGCCTAGGCTACTTTGTTTGTTTGACCTAACCTATTTATAAGCCTATGAAATGTTCTCTCCAGATACTTGATATATTACGTTAATTATAAGTAATGATTAAAGTAGAAGACTAACTTTTTACCTGGGAAATAACAGTGCAAAAATGTCTCCTAGGCCACGAATATTAACTAAGGTAACTTAAGATAATTTGACATTTTGATTTCCTTTATCTACCTTCTGCCTTCTATTCTAGTCTGCTAGCTTACTAATTCAACTCCTTGACTCTTGACTCCTTGCCGCAATACGGAATTCGGGAATTACGGACTAGACTAACTGTTTGTAGAACTGTACTGAACCGAACTGAAATGAAAATGAAAATGAAAATACGAAATTGAAGAGAAGAGAATACAAATAAGTCAATCAAAACATTTAAGGTATGCTACAAACATCTAAGAAACAACACGGCACTGAATAATTTATTTCAGAATGATTTTATTTAGGCATGTGTGGAAGGCAAGTCGGGCTTATGCGGATTCGTGACTGTATTAAGTGTTTTGAAGTTAGGTTAGATTAGGAAGGTAAAGTGTAGGTTATAGTGAACCGAGCTGATAATTTATATTACACACAGGCAGTAGTTGTGCCATTAAAATACTAAATGTAAATTAAAATAGCTACATGGTTAAAGTAACAATGTTGGCCTATTTTGTGGAGTAGATTGGATTACTGGAACTGGATTTTCTCAAATCCATCATTCTGCCGCCACTAACCAACCATTTCACTATTCATTTGAGTAGTTGCGTACGTACAACAGTTGTACTTTGTACAACTTAGTTATCTTGTTTCCCGACCGAACTATCATTATGCTGAAATTAATAAGTTTGCGGTAATTATCTTATTGATTGTTCGGGTGAGTCTAATATTTACTTAAAATCACTTACAATTTACATAAATTTGATAGTTATATAAAGTTTCTGGTGAGGAAATATCGTCAATTAAAATAGACTAGTCAGTAGACTTACAAAGGTAAATAAAACTTAAAACTGCCGTAACTCCGTTAATATTTGAGAGCGCGGAAAAATTTTTGCACCATTATTTTCAGCTAAAAATCTAGTTTCTTGTTATAAAATCTATATAGGTTCCCATGGTCACGTTCGTCGCAATAATTACCCAGTTTTTTTTTGTAAAATGTAAGAAATAAAAACATTTTCCAAATTTGATCAAAATATGTTCATAAACAAGCAAACTACAACAGTTTACACATTCTCCATAAGAATAACATGGGAATTTTAAATTTACAATTTTTTGGAATTTTCTCTGTAACCATTAGGCGCATAATAACGCTTCAATATACTAAATCATTTGTTTTTTTAAGCTCTACAAAATGGTTTGGAAATAAATTGCTAAATTTTATGTTTTTTGGGTAAAAAATGGGAAAAACCTATTTTTACCCCCATAAAACCCACTGTAAACACCCGCTTCCACAGTCCGATCATGCTGGATCGCGAACTTGTTTGAATAAATGTAGGTTTACACGTTTGTACCAAATTTCATCAAAATCGGATCATTTTTGCTCGATTTATCGTGCTGCCGGACACACACACTTATATATATATATAGGCCTAAATACTTATATATAGCCTATATATATATAAATATATATGAATTTGAACGGATGGTGTTTTTGGTCTCTAGGGACCTCAAAACAAACAAAAAATCGGTCCCGCGTCCAGGTCTTACCATGAGTACTACGGTAATAGCTTATTCCCTATATGGGAAATTCGCTAAAACAAAGTAGCCTAAGTTAACTTAGTCGTAGCTGCCTAAGTTATGTGCCTGAGATAAGTTTAGTGTTTTGATTAGCCTATCATTAAATGTAATTTCATTTAAGTTATTTAGGCTATATAAACGGTAATTCATCACCAAAATACACCAAGTTTCAATATTTGATGGCAGTAGAAAACAATAATGATCCAAATAATCACTTAGTTTTATTTCTTAGAGAATGCGGACAGGGTAGTAATGTAGGCTACAGAGTAAACTTGCAGGGAAGTTAAGTTACATGACCAGTCTGTGGTTATGTTAAGTGATTGTGACCAAGGGTATTATAAACTATACCGGTAGTTATTGACAGTTTTCTAACAAGAAGGTCTCCCTCCACCGTAAGCGTTGTAGCATTGACTACTATACACAAAAGTCAATGGTTGTATCTAGTATATGATGGCAAGGGGGGCGGTGTTGGCCTTTGCCCTAGACACCACCTTAACTCAACGTTCTGTACCCACGGGCACTTCTGCTTCCACGTGCACAGAAGGCCTTTGAACTATTCCTGGATAACAGCTATTTGTTTAATAGGTTCACTGTTTATCTTTCTTGGACCAGGTTGGATACTAGTTTCTTTCAATAGTTGCAGTTGCGAACTGTGCATTGTGAAAGTGTTTCGGTGTCTGTTTGTTTGACTTTTGACTTGAGCTGCTTGAAAAGTCAAGTGTTATTATTATTATAAAAATGAAAGTGCTGAAGCTGAAGTGATTTGTTATTAAGTATTGACAAGTTCACTTAACCTTTTTTTTCAGATTCCTCAAGAATGAGTGATTGTTAATAAAGGCCTAGGTTAGGTTGAGTTGTGTGTGAATTTGATAGATTACAGTTTTGGTAGGTCTAGGTTTATTTTATAGGAGTGAGGTGTATAGCCTAATGTTGTAGCTTGCTTGTCTACATATTTTAATGACATTTGAAAAAATTGTTTTTTTCATACTAAGCTACCTATCAACACACCTTATTATTAAAAACTAGCATAACTATAATAATAGGTGTACCTTTTATTACATGGAAAGATAAATTGATAAGTTTATTTGATTTTTAATAAGATTTTAAAGAGTGACGATAAATTAATAATTTAATTACCTTAATTGATGCCTGAGTAATCAATCAATTGTTAAAATACTTTTCAAGAAAACAAACACTTTGGTGTAAAAAATTATCTCTAAGTTAACATAAAACATCTTTAACATATTCAGAAATCTATTTCCTATTTTTATTTTTCTCTTTCTCTAGGTTACAATGTCCAAGTTGAATTTATTATTTAAATCCCATCACGTACTTCAAATTGGTACAACTGTTAACTATAAACATATCTTAATTCAAGGAAGCTAATACACATCAGAAGTAACAGTTACCTCGGAAAGTGCTCCAAGAGCTTTCTGCGCATGCACAAGCTGAGGTGCCCGTGGGTACAGATGTTGAGTCACCATCTAAGTGTATCTTTGAATGTTTCGTCAATGCCTTAGGCCTAAGTTACTATGTGGATAATGATCACTGCTATAACTTATCAACAATTTATTAAGTTATATCTAAGTTAACAATAAAACATGTAGGAACTCAACTAACTTGTCATGACACCCTAGGCCGAACTCGATCTCGCCACCTCCCCCTACCAAGTGGGGCAATTCGTCTGGTGGTTACACAAATTAGGCTATCATGCCTGTGATCAAAATACCGTAGGTTCTTTTTCATGATTATTAAGTTTACTTGCTTAGGGCTTTTGTGAAATAATGTAGAGAAATAATGCTACTAATCTTCTAGGTAGGTCCTACTATCTTTATTCTTACCTTCTTCTTCTTCTTCTTCTTACCTATCTGGCTCTGCTGGTCTTGGTCAAGGAGGAGGTAGGCCTAATTAAGATAATATTGAGGCTGTAAAGTAGTTTTATCTTGAAAATGTGTAGTACATATGTTTCTTTCTTTTTTCTTTCAAGTACCAGTCCGGAGAAGGGACACAATACTACTCCAGAGCTCAAGCCTTAAAAAAACTTCAGCTGACACTAAAAGATTTTCGCAGACTGTGTATCCTAAAAGGAATTTACCCTAGAGAACCTCGTATTCGGAAACGAGCACAACAAGGCCGAGCAGGAATCCAGACTCTTTATCACAAGAAAGATATCCAGTTTCTAATGCATGAACCTATAATATGGAAGCTACGAGATATGAAGGTGAGAATAAAATAAAAAAAAAATAACTTGCATTGAAAAACTTGACAAAAGTTTTAAATCCTCAATCAATACAAATTTAAGTGATGTTGAAGGTTTTGTTGATGATCCTGGAGAAGTTGGTGAAATTGATGTAAAAATAATCATTCAGATCCTTAGCTATGGTGAGGCAATCCATTCTTAGCTTTTGCTAAATTTTCAAACTGCTTTTTTCACTCATAACTTATTTGTTTAGTAATTTACCTCCCTATATGATTATATTGTCGAAATCCTCATAACATTTAGAACAAAGTGGCTATTAAATTATTTATAGGCCTAGGCCTATAAGTATAGCAGTTTTAAAATAATGATTGTTATGTGGCACTTTTGATTGTTTCAAACAGTTTTGCTTATCAAAAAACCTCAAGTAATTAATAGATGAGTGAACGAAGTGAACGAATCTATGTATCGTGTATAGCGGAGTTGGAGGAAAGTTGTCCGCTTGTGTGTGTGTGTTTGCGTGTGTGTGTTCGCACCAAAGCTCAAGAACCGTCGCACTTATAGCGTTCAAATTTTGCACAAATAATTAGTGACACCAGTGGGAAGACACCATTAAAATTCTAGACGATTCCACTTAGTAGTAATTATAAAATACTTAAAAAACATTTTTAAATTTGTCCCATTAGAATAACATTAGGAGCTACCTTCTTCTTCTTCTTATTTGTTTACGTTTTGCGACCAACAATTTTGTTGCCTACTTAAGACAGAGAGAACGACTTTTACTCTAAGCTCTTTCATTTATGGAGTAAACAGTTTGGCGTTTATGAATATATATAATTATAATTTCACAGTTTTCAGAACAATGTTATTTAAGTTAATTAAATTTCGCAACTTTCTGAACAATAAATTGAACTTAACAATATTAGTCGGCAGTTATATACCGTTTATGTTCAGCATAAAAATTCACCTTTAAATTAAAAATATATATGTATATATTTAAAACAAAGCAGCTTTTTACATTTAATTCAATTTAATAATGGCATTGGATATTAAATATTCAAAGATGTTAGTATATTTTTTTATATTAAAGTGCTATGCGAAGGGTGGGGACAGGACCACGACGTAGAGAGTGGTAAAGGAAGCGGAAAGGTGAGCAGTGCGGAGTGTGGAAACCCTTTGTGACTGTTAAATTAATATATCTGTAATACTTAAATGCTATGGAAAGAGAGGGAAACAGGTATACGATGAAGGAAGTAGTCAAAGCGAGCGCTCCGGAGTGTGGGAAGCCTTTGTGACAGTTAGAATAATGTATCTGAAATTCTAAAAATGCTATGGGAAGGGAGAGAAACAGGTCCACGATGTAGGAAGTAGTAAAGGAAGTAGTCAAGGCGAGCAGTCCAGAGTGTGGTAACCATTTGTGACAGTTAGATTAATGTATCTGCAATTCTTAAATGCTATGGCAAGGGAGGGAAACAAGTCCACGACGTAGGAAGGGGTGAAGGAAGTAGTCAAGGCGAGCAGTCCGGAATGTGGGAACCCTTTGTGTCAGGTAAATTAATGTATCTGCAATAATAAAATGCTATAGGGAGGGAGGGAAACAGGTCCATGACGTAGAAAGCGGTAAAGGAAGTACTAAAGGCAAGCAGTCCGGAGTGTGGTAACCATTTGTGACAGTTAGACTAATGTATCTGCAATTCTTAAATGCTATGGCAAGGGAGGGAAACAAGTCCACGATGTAGAAAGCGGTAAAGGAAGTAGTCAAGGCGAGCAGTCCGGAGTTTGGGAACCCTTTGTGACAGTTAGATTAATGTATCTGCAATTTTAAAATGCTGTAGGAAGGGAGGGAAACATGTCCACGACGTAGGAAGTGGTGAAGGAAGTAATCAAGGTGAGCATTCCGGTGTGTGGGAACCCTTTGTGACAGTTAGATTAATGTACCTGCAATACTAAAATGCTATAGGAAGGGAGGGAAACAGGTCCACGACGTAGGAAGTGGTGATGGAAGTAGTCGAGGCGAGCATTCTGGAGTGTAGAAACCCTTTGTGACAGTTAGGTTAGTGTAAATACAATTCTAAAATAAATGCTATGGGAAGAGAAGGAAACAGGTCCACTACGTTGGAAGTGGTGAAGGAGTAGTCAAGGCGAGCAGTCGGAAGTGAGGTAACCCTTTGTGATAGTTATAATAATGTACAGTATCTACGATTCTAAAAATGCTATTGGAAAGGACGGAAACAGGTCCACGACGTAGGAAGTGGTGAAGGAAGTAGTCAAGGTGAGCAGTGCGGAGTGCGGGAACCGTTGGTGGCAGTTAGATTAATGCATCTGCAATACCAAAAGGCTAGGGGAAGGGAGGAAAACAAGTTCACGTCGTAGGAAGTGGGGAAGGATATGGTAAAGGCGAGTAGTTCTGAGTGTGGGATCAGTTTGGTGGTACTTAGATTAATGTATATTCAATACTAAAATGCTGAGGGAAGGGAGGGAAACAAGTCCACGACGTAGGTAGTGGCGGTGAAAGTGGTAAAGGCAAGCAGTGCGGAGTGTGGGAACCGTTTATGGCATTTAGATTCATTAGTTTGATAAAAATATATTTGATTTTTAATCATTTTTACCTGATATAATTGCGCTATCGTTGTTATAAATCATCATTGTAAGCCATACGATATTTTTTAGGAGATTCCTTACACTGTGCTTTGACAATTAGGTTATGTTAGATTAGTTCAGTTTGGCTTAGTTTTGTTGTTAGGTTATATACATCGATGGTTTTGTTTATGATAGGCCTCATAACAAATATGGAAATAGGCTTCATTTAATCAAAAGACGTTTTGTACAGGAACGATAGATTTACCTCCTATCGACAACTGTTGGAAATCCATTACGTATATTACCAATGACTTTGGTTAATTAACCCCTTAACCGCCACGCACGAGATATGCCGGGCTATACTAGTTTTCAGAGCAACCGCCACGTACGAGTTATCTCGTGTTGACGTAATCAGCTGTTGTGTTTTATTTTTAACAGCTCACTTCCCGCCTTATCTCTGATATACGTACGTAAACAAGTTGTTGACAGTGCTGCTTGACTAGTGCTGCAATCTGGTGGATTTTAGTGGTATTATAGGTCAGTAATGGTCCCGATCAGTTCCGTTCGTAGTTTCAGTAAAACTTGTGCTTGCGGAAGCTTACGTAATGCTTACGTACATTATGCGTGTCATTATAATTGTGTTTTTTGGTGGTTATTTACTTGGTAGTGTTGAATGAGTAGTAAATATTAGTCGTAATGGCTGGTGACATGCTTGAGGATGACGATTTATTAGAGTTGTAGACTTTATTGTAGGCCTAATTTTTATTATAGGCCTAACTCAAGAAACCCCCGAACCCCACCCCCCCCCCACAATCACAAATTTTAGTAGGGTATTGTTAAAGCTTAATGTTTTTGAAGATGTCTACAAACAATATTGATAACTATTTTCTTTAGAAAAACAACTGGTACAGTTTATTAAATCACAAGTAAAAATCGTCAAAAACGGCAAAAATAAGTGGCAATGGCGGATTTTGACTAGGCTACTTAGACGGCGGTTAAGGGGTTAATGGACGAGAAGTTAAGATTGTTGTTGACTGAGATTTGGTTGATTTGCCCATACAAATAACATTGTGTTCACCAGTGACACCGGTAAGTAGGCTAGGTGTGGGTGGACTCTTTCATTATTGCGCTCAAGTTCACTCATCCCGTTACGCGCAGAATAAGCGTACTACTAGTATATAACAAATTATACAGTCACTAAAAATCATGAAATAATTTATTTTTGTAAAAAAATACAACCGACTTCAAACGCTCTAAAAAGAATGAAATAATTTCAATAAAGTAAACTTTTGTATTGGCCAAGCTCTCCTATTTCAAGTCGGCGCGGCTCCAACTGCAAATATGATTGAAATAAAATATTGTGTGTGTATTTTGAAAATCAATAAATTGTAGCTGGATACGTACAAGATTTTACCTGACCCGACAATATACATGGGGTTACGTACAATATTTTTCATTATCCTTTTCACTCATCTTCTAACAGTTACATTCTTTTACAAACAAAAGCTAGATTAGGAAAATTCTTTAAAGCATAACTGATATGCACATTCCAAAACTACTGGCTATAAGTGGTTCATAAACATCTGTTCTTATTTATTATTGTTTATATGATGATATAGTTACATAATAGAATTGTGATTAAATAAAGAAAAATTGAGTTACTACATTTAAATGTTACATTATTAAAATATCGAACAAATGGCGACGAGAATAATGGAAGAAATAGAAAATATAGCAGTAGATGTAAACAAAGTCAAGAAATTGACATTATTGCGAAGAACAGTCAAGTTCCAGCTTGAAAATGTAAAGAAGTATGTGGATATAGGAACATTTTCCATCAATGAGATCAAAACTAGACTTGACTTGTTAGCTGAGATTAAATCAAAGTATGACCTAATTCAAGACAAGATCGAATTCTACACAGAAGAAGAAAATTTAGAACAAGAGTTGACTTACAGAGAAAGTATTGAATACATGATGATTTATACGAAAACAAGATTAATGGATGTCCAAATGATTCATACCCTAGTATACAGCATAACTCTATTCCTAATCAAAGTTATTGTTTCAATGCAAATCTACATACTGATACACCGATTCCAGCCCTTCCTACTTCAAATTTGAGCTTTCCCCCTTATGATGAAAGAGAAAACATTTCTAATTTTGCCAGAAGACTGGAGGTCTTTATGACTTTGAAAGGTATCAATGATTCTAAATTGAAGACTTTTACACTTTTACATGCATTGACACCTCTTCTACATCAAAAACTATACGACCTATATACACCAGACAATCCTATGAATAAAGAGTATGAAGAGCTTGTAACCTTACTTGACAACTTCCTCGATCCTCCACACATTTATAAGTCGAATACAAGAAGATGCAGAATCAATTTCAAACTTTGCTACAGAACTAAAAAGGGTCAATCCATATCAAGTCATCCA